TTAGTCCCGCCGACCGAAATTCAAGCAATTAATTATTCCTTTGTACCTCTATTTATTCATTACCAACATCAACAAAACTTTATATTTTGATATATATGTATAAAAAAACTTTTAAATATCCATGTATATATACCAGTCTCTGAAATAAAATAAAAGGGAAATAAATATATTACGTCTCGATCTTTCGGCCTTGCCTCGAGACGTCCTCCACCCGATGGCTTGCGCCACGTAATAACGAGACCGCAAAAGAGAGAGGAAAAGGTGTATATTTTATTATTTGTTGTTTAGAAATATGTGTAGCATGACTGAATCACGTACCAGCTAGGTGTCTGACTCTGATCGATCAGCATATCAATAAATAATCCATCATATAATGAATTCATCAAATCAATACCAATAGTCCCTTTCGTTTCATTAGATCACATTTGATCTAGTATACAATTGAATATGACTACTATTCAAATTTTTTCCATTTTTTTTTTTAGTAGCAATTAATATAGGACCCTTACAAAAAATGTTCAACCGATTGGAAAATTCAAATTATTACTGAGAAAAATCGACCAAATTGAAAACTTTATTTACAAAAAAAAAAACTTTATGCTTTGTTCAATTTTAAGTTGATATCTTTTTCTTTAATCTTTCTGTTAATCCAGATATAAAAATTATAGTTATTTTTGGATTTTTAAAATTAATTAAAAAATTTCGCGCTTTATTGTCTAAAAAGCATCATTTTTATTACAGGTGATATACCTATTGCGCCATCTTTTATCATTAGAGTGATAAGTAAATTCAGTACTCAGAAACACTGTAAATTGAAGTTGAGTTTTTAACTTTTAAATTAACACCGACACTGATAAAATAAAAAAAATTTAATATTTTTAATCTAATGAATAAATCCTAGACACCTGTTGGGATCAAACACGGAACTTCAATTATCAGTCCAATGCGTTGCTCACTGATCCAAATCACGTATATTCTTCATCGAGTATTTAACTATTTTTATATAGAAATTAATTGATTTGGATTATGCTTAACTCATTCTAGAAAAATTGAGGTAAAATCAATAATTTGCCAACTTAAAAAAATTATTGATTTCCATAATGGGAAGTTGAAAGTTGACAATTTTAACGAACATATGCATATCTTAGTCAATTTTAGATTCGTAATTTTTCAAAAACAAACCATTTTTCTTAGTTACAAAATTTACCGCTAGCGCGACAGCGTAAACAATTTGTAATTTTACGGACCAGTGTTCGAATCCCAGCGAAGTCAATTATGATTTTTTATAATTAAATTTCAATAAACTCTCATAATTATGATCACATTTTACAATAAACTAATCCCAGAATCTACTTTAATGAAAAAACAAAAAAAATAAATCACTGGTAAAAATAAAAAAGAGTTTTCTTTTAATAAAAAATAAAAATAAAGTTGAGTGACATGAGAGAAGGTCGACAAAGACTTTTCAAGTTTTTCCAGCAAACAACCCAATGACGGATGAGAGTAGACTAAGAAGAGGATCAAGATGAAGAAGAAGAACATACGGGTCTAGTGTGACTACCAACAGTCCTATCCATATTACTGTTATTATTATTACTGTTATTATCATTATTGCTCTCATATATTTGTAAGTCACGTGTTTGGCCAAGAAATAGTTAAATAAAAAGAGGATAAAAAATCTATGTATACGTATACATATAAGTAGCTTTTTGAATGCCAACGTAAGTTTAGGCTTGGATCCCTTCGCCTCCCAAGAGCCGGGAATCTTTTCAATGAGAAACCCCACGTTCGATCTTACTCGTAATCTGTGATTCTTAGACGTAAACTCTTACCATATATATAATATAAAGTTTATACGTATGTTTGCACGTTAGTGTGTAGGTTGAATATAAGATCCGCCAATTTATCGCTTTAAAGTAGTCCCTTTTCAATCACCAATCCCCAAAGGGAATTTAATCCACTTTGACGTATTTTCCAAACGAATGTTTTTTTTTAGTTTTGGTTAAAAAAAATATTTTAAAATAGCTTGTTGCCAACGGAAATGGATAAACTAGCCAATTTATATTAATTTTTTAGTATGAATTATTGGTGGATTTTTAAAGTTTAAGTCACTTTAAATCTTTCAGATTTATTTGAAGAAGATAGTTCAAGAAAGTTCAATAAATCATTGGGGATCAATTTTATAAAAAAATTACATCAATTATTTAAAGAAGATTTTATGCTTTATAGAAAAGAATTCTTGAGTTTTTTTTATATTTTGCATAGTATTCAAAATGTATAATAAAATTTAAAGTTTCAATTGCACGCCTCAACGCAAAACGTTTAGATTGTGCTCTACTTTCAACCTGTCTAATCCGACAATTATTTGTTGCTCTTTTTTCTCTTTAAAAATTTAAACAATGGAAATATTAAAAAAAATGCGCAAACATAAAATTTGAATTAACAATTCGGACTATTTTTCAAATGCTCATAAATTTTGAAGGGTAATTTTTATGAAAAAAATACTATCAATCTTCTTTATAGAAAATTTAATGCTCTACAAAAAATCACTCTTAGTTTTTTTCGGCATCTCTCAAGGTTCAAAAGTTATAGCGCAAAATAAAGATGCAGTCAGTATAATTAACTCTTTTCAAAAAAAATTTGTCCTTTAATATATTTATGAAATTATATATGATTAATATAATTTCTCGGTGTATACATAATTTCGAAATGTGTCCTTGCGAGTGTCAAGTTCGTACACATTCTTCAGCCCACATAATCCCGTCTCTTTTTTTCACTATCTTTACTAGTATTTGTATTACACTTTACACACTCATATATAAAAGAATAGAAAAAATACGTAAAGGCTAAAATTCAAAAATAATCTTCCGGTATCAAACAACGTATCAAATTTCATAAAATTTATTGTATTCATTTTACCTATTGAATATAAAGATTTCAAAAATCTCTTATTTTTAATTAATAGCAGGTTAAATTAAAAAATAACCATTTATTTATTAATTTTCGAGATCAAAATTTACCGGTAATTATTGTCTTAAGTTTGGAAGTATGGACTATTTAATGATTTACAGAAGGCCCGAGGCCCTCGTAAATTAAATTTAAATATTTCGTCCGGTACGACCTTAATGACGTAGACTCGCTGCTGATGATGATTAAGAACAATCTCATCATCATCATCAGCAGCAGCAGCACGAAATATCATCCACATCCAGACTTTAAAAGATTATTTTTTAAAAGTTTAAATAAGTTGACGAGGAAGACGAACACGTTTTTAAGTCAAGTCATAGTCAATTTTAGATTATTATAATGTATACCTGTCTACCTTGCTCTAAAGTTTAAATTATTGTTGTTATTGTTAGCTATATGCTATATGGCTGGACTTGCCTTTTTTAGTATTGTTAATTCCGAGTGAATTTTTAACGGACGTCTTAAGGTGAAACAATAAAATTATTTTCACGTGCTGCAACAATCTTAATGAACTAGACACCCGATTGTCGGAACAAGTTTTTGCAAGTGTATTTATATTGAGGAAACTTTATTGTTTTCTATCTTTTCTTTGTTTTTGTTTTTAATTAGATAAGATTTTTTTGTGTGATAATTTTTACGTAAAATTAAATATTTTGGAAAGGTAAACAATTTTTTTGTACCATTGATGATAAGAAAAGTTTTAAGCTTTCAATTTTTTTATTTTTTTGAATTGATCACTGGTTTTTTTTTTGTTAAAAAAAAATTAAGCAAACATCTATTTTCTAATGTTAAAATTTTCAGAATTGAAACTAAAACACGCATTCTTGAATCTTTTGAATCAATATAAAGCTTCTGCTGGCTCAAAAAAATTTTGAGTTTTACAAAAAATTATGAAAAAAAAGTTTTTCTTTTTTTTTTTGAACAACATTAAAATTTTTCTCTTGATTTAACATTTTTTATTTGATAAAAAATCAACTTTTCATTTTATTAGAGTAATATTAAATTTTTTTATCAATCCAAAAAACGAAGTATTTTCAATTTTTAACATAGAAGAATATCACTTTTTTTTTCTATTTATAACGATGAAGAGTTACAGAACAAGTCAATAACTTTTAACTTATCAGTAAAAAATTTATTAATATCTAATTTTAGACATTCAGTTGTGATATGATATTATCAAAAAATTATCTAAAAAAATTCTTTGAATTTGTGGGGGTCAAATTAAACATTATAGATGGTGCAAAAAATATTAAGCTTAGAAAAAAATAGTTCTTGAAGAAAAAAATTGTTTTTCTTTTGACACACAACTCTCCAATTTAATAATGTCAAATTTGAAATGTAATCTATAAAACATTTTTAAATGAGGTTAAACATTTATTTGCATTCATGTTTTATTAAAAAAGTTAGAAAGAAGGTCCCGAGAAAAACCTTAAATTTTGATATTTAAAACTTTTTGTAAATATTAAAAAAGTTAATATTAATAACCAAATATACGAAAAAAAATGAAAGAGTATTTTTTATAGAAAACAAAAAACTTTCTAATTAAAACTATCAATAAAATTAATTCTTGAGACTCTTACAAACCTTAAAAGTTGATTGCCAAAAAAAAAGTAATGATTATTTATAAGCCGAAAAATGACTTGTTACTTTTATTGATGTATAATTACGATCGTATTGTTGATAAACAATAAATAAGAGATATTAAACAACTATAAAGATGATTGCATTGCATAAATATAATAATAACAATGATAAATAAATAAAATAAATGTTTAAATATATTAGAGGTTGAATTGTATCGAATTAGCGGATCATCGATGAGTGACTGAGATAAATCGGTAGTTTGATATACAAAGAAACGAAAAGACAACGATGGTTAAGTTATGCAGATTATAGAGTGACAGTAAGAGAGTTACAAAATCTATGTGGTAGCTCAGATTGAATAATTATAATAATAATAATAATAATAATAATATAAAAAAATAAAGACAGAGTAAGCAAAAGCCAGTCAGTTATGGCTCGAGGCTAAAAGTATGATAGACAAGGTCAGCTTGTCGTGTAACACTCGGCTGGTCTTACTCACCTGTCTACACTCATTTCTAGTTATTAATAATACCAACAATCTATACTAATTCTCCAGAAATCCCTTTCAATTCTTAACGAATTCATTTACTATTTTATTTTCAATCCTTATTGTTGTTGCGAGGAAATTTTTTGACAGCAGTTCATTATTTTTAAATTTTTTTTAATCATGCTCAAAAATTTCCAAAAAGTTTTTTGTTTTTAAATTATTCTGCGACTTTTTATGTTATCAAAAAACTCTTAAATATATTTTAGAATATGATGGAGTATAAATTTCGTTTTTTAAAGAAATTTTTGGTAATCTAAGTTATGAACATAATTTTTGAATCAAAAATATATAGTTCTTAAAAGAAAAGTCAAAATTATCGTTAGTTAGAAATAATTATTCTTGGATAAAGAATTTGATTGTATCAATCAAAAATAATACTGTCTTACTCTAAGTAGAAATAGTAACCGATTGAAGATGTTGGTCATTTAAGTCAAGATGACAATATTCAAGACAAATAGATATTTATGTCATAAGGCCGTGAAGTGGCGGTTTTCTGACAGCGACGATATTTCGATATGAGCTTAAGGTTTGTGGCGGAAGGTCCGAAATGGGCGTAATTTTAACGTCCGAGGCGTAGCCGAGGACGGAAATTTACGCTCGTTTTCGAACATTCGCGTCACAAACATTAAAGCGAATATCGAAAAAAAGTCGTTGTCAAAATCGCCACTAAACGGCCGAATGACATACAATATTTTTTGTTATTATCGCTCCATAAGTTTAACTTTTGAGGGATAGGAGGCAAATAATGACATATTTAAATTTTAGGAAGTTTCACAAGGCCAAAAAAAAAATTAATTTTATATTAATTATCTTTTTATTAATCTTAAAATCTTGCTCACGTCCAGAAAATGTAAATAACTTTTTATTAGTATTTATTTATGGCGTTGTTGTTATTTTATTAACATTAGATCCACTTCGTAATAAACTGCCAGCAGAGAAATAATTAGCGCCACTCAATAGTAACTAAGACTAAAAATTATCGGTCGGTACGCTAGAATGTGACTTTTTTTTTACAATCTCTCTCAATTTCGTCTGGGTGTACATGAACAGTTTGTAAAAAAAAGGAGGGGGTAAAACTTCACGGCCTAGGTCGTGAAAAAAAGATGGTATGGTAGAGTCTTTAGGAAAGAGTCCCTTTACGGATGCCACCCAGCGCTCAGAAGTTAAACTTCTGGAGCGAGTATAACAAAAATAAATTTTTAAAGCGCAATCACCGGTTGTCTTTAGAATAAGTTTGTTCTTAGACCATGAATGCTTCTCTTACATTATGATAGTTATTGTATCACAATATAATTTTATCTATTTGATCAAATTTTACTATTACATTCGTTTTTAACGATCTTACCGAGTAGCCTTTTTTGAATTAAGATTAATAATACTATAGCAAAAACTGATTGTTTTTGTCTACAAAACTAATAAAATCTAATGAAAATAATATTTTTTGTTTCAGATATTTGGTAGCAAAGCCGATCTCCAATTACATACGCAAATCCATATGAGAGAAGCAAAACCCTACAAATGCACCCAATGCTCAAAAGCATTTGCGAATTCGTCATATTTGTCACAGCACACACGGATACACTTAGGAATAAAACCGTACCGTTGTGAAATATGCCAGCGTAAATTTACCCAATTGAGTCATTTACAGCAGCATATACGGACTCATACAGGTGACAAACCCTACAAATGCCGGCATCCTGGGTGCACCAAAGCATTCAGTCAGTTGAGTAATCTACAGAGCCACTCGCGTTGTCATCAAACCGACAAGCCCTACAAGTGCAATTCGTGCTACAAGTGTTTCTCCGACGAGCCAAGTCTTCTGGAGCATATACCAAAGCACAAAGAATCAAAGCATCTCAAGACCCACATTTGCCAGTACTGCGGCAAGAGCTACACCCAGGAAACGTATCTGGCAAAGCACATGCAGAAACACGCCGAAAGAACGGACAAAAGACCTCCAATAATTGGAACAGGATTGAGGCCATCGATCCACGCCGCAATGGCAGCGGCTGCCCAACATCATCAGGATGCTGCAGCACATCATTACTGGCCGAAGGTCAGCCCCGATTCCGTGATCAGTGAATTGCACGACCGGTTACCTCACCATCACCATCATACAGACTATCACCAGAACCCTAACGGACCGACTGACATGCTTCTACAACATGGCGGTGTGACTGGAAATGGCGGCGGCGCAGGCGCAACTGGGCATCGAGACCTCGAAAACGACTCGAGGCAACAGACGCCTCAACCGCCTGGCGTTGGAGGTGGTGGAGGAGGCAACCATCATCCGAATAGCAGTAGTGCTTTCACGCCAATTTCTTCGATATCCATAAACTCTATTTCGTCAATGCACAATCCATTAAATCCTCTGAATCATCTTCACTATCCTGGCAGCCATCATCCGGCTTCAAGACCGTACTTATACGAAGCTTTCAATACGCAAAAAGCTTCACCAACTTCCTCCGCGGTGACTCCCGGTACTAATAACAATCAGAACACGACGTCGTTCCCTAATCAGCTGATCAGCTTGCATCAGATCAGGAACTACGCGCATCAACCTAACCTAGGTAATTTGGGAAATTTGGGCAATCTTAGTAATCTCAGTAATTTGGGGAATATTAGTGCGTCCATGGAAGGACACTCTTTACTTGGGCTTAAGGATAAACAGTAAATTATTTAATTGTTTAGAAGTTTTTAATTGTTATTGTTATCGACCGATTATTATTTCGATTCATTTTACGGAATAATTACTGTTTTTACGAATATCTCGCTATAAAAAGTCGGTGAAGTTTGACAAGAACCACACTATTTCTGATTGTAAAAATCTGGTTCAAATTCGGTCAAGATTCACTAACTGTTTTTGCTTACATGAAAAATTGTATGATTTGGCAAAAAATTAAGAAATATAGAATAAAATTTTCGATCTAGAAAAAATATTGCAAAATCATAATAATTCTTTTAAAGAATTACCAAAAAATCAATTAATATTTTTTTGTAGTTCGCTTTATTTCCTATGAAAAAGTATTGATTAATTTTTTTTGTAAAATTTCTGAAAAATTATGGCGAGACACAAAAATTAAAAATTTATCTTTCAGTTTTATTGTTTCTTTGATATTTTTATTTATTTCTTAAAAAAATGAAAATATAAAAAAAAAACTAAGTTTTTTGTAAAGTGTAAAATTTTCTAAAATAAAAACGTTTAGTTGTAAAATCAACGTGTGATCAACAGAGTAAAAACCAGTAATCAAAAAATTCTTTAAATTTGAACGCGTGTATAAAAGATGTTGATAACTGAAAAGAATATTAAGAATAACAATAATAATAATTTAAAAAAAAACTAAAAAGACAGATGACACAAAAATGAGCGTACACTCATGAGGGCACAAATCGCTGTTTTTTTTTTGTTTTTGTAATGACAAAATAAACGAGCGAGGAAACAGAGACAGAGATAGGGATAGTAAATAATAAAAATAATGACAGATAGAAATAAATATTTGGTGTAGGTAGAGTAGGTTGACGGTGCCACGAAATATATGAAACTATTAAAATGTGAATGATTAAAGTTTAACACAATTTTAAAAATAAATAATTATTGTAATGTGTTGACTGCATATGAGTGGTATGGACAACCTCTTGTACATAATTATTATATAAATATAAATATATAAATAAATATATATATAAAAACAAATATACAAGAAAATTTAATAAATAAAATTATATATTATTAATTATTATTATAATTATTGATTATATTAATATTTGGTAGGTGTGTAAGGTGAACTTAAAAAAATAGACTTAATTATTATTATTATTATTATTATTATTATTATTATTATTAATTGTCAAGGTTTAATAAAATTAATTGATATTGATATAAATAATTAATAATATTTCTATGTACCTTCAAAGGGAAGAGATATTAATTACTGACGCTGTCCAATTTCACTATTTTTTTTTCCATTACAATTATTCTTTTTTTTTTTTTTGGAAGTAAAAATATCGCTATTTTTAATATTCTGTTAAAATTAAAGGAAGTTTTTATGATTTACAAAAAAAAATTTGGGGTGAAATTGATGACTTTTTTTTTCAAAAAGAAGAAATTATCAATTTGCTTTGAATTGAAATAAAAAAAATATTTGTGCGTGTAAGTCATGCACAATAAAAGTGAAACTTTTTGCTCATTATTGGGAGATGAATTTTTAGTATTTTGTATATTTTTTTTAATAAACAATCTTCAAGAGATAGGAAAAAAATTTACTGCGCAAAATGCATATACCCTGTTTCCATGATTACCGTTGCTATAGTAGCTGCCACCATAGCAACAGTTGCTATCTTAATTTTTCATAACGTCTGAAATTTCTTACCCTCATGAGCAAAGGAGTTTCACTTAAAAAAAATTACAATGAAGAGTGAATTCATAACAAGACGAACAAAAATAAAGATTTTAAATTTAAAAAATCTAACACTGTAGATATTTTCTTGTTACGGCGTGAGTTTACTAGTACCGATTTCAGATTAAAAAAAAAATAATTTTTCTTATATATTATATGTATTATTAAAAAAAATGTATATTTTAAAGTAAAGACTAAAATGCCAAAAAATTTTTATCTGTAATATATTAAATAAAATTTATCAATCGCCAATAATTAATAATTATTAATTTTAAATTATAAAGAGAACAATAGTTGAAGTAATTTTTTAAAAATTGAAATCGTGTAAGGAATAAAATCACGCCTCACCTGTGCTCAAGTTGTTTACTATTAGTTTGTTATTAATTATTAATTATTAATAATTAAGAAAGTATAATATTCTACTCCTACTACCATTTATATAAATAATAACGAATTATTGATATTACAATAATTATTATTATGATTATCCTTAATTATAATTATCGTCACATTGCTCTTTTGGTTTCCTTAACGATTGTTAAACGCCGGGTAAGCGTGTTTTTTTTTTATCTAATAAATTTTGTCAAAGGACAAGTGTGAATGCAATTAAACAATCAAGTGAGAGTGGAAAAAATAATAAATTAATGTGTGAATGCGAATGGTAAATTTAGTTTTTTATGGAAAAATTTTAAGTCTAGTTTGTAAAAGAAATTTAATTTTTTTCCATTTTGTTATTAGGGAAACCAGAGACCTCGCGCTTTAATTGTGATTATCTTTTTTCTATCCTTAGTTCCTATTTTTTATTAATATTATTATTTTTATTATTATCATTATTATTATTATTATTATTATTATTATTATTATTATTATTATTATTAATTAATAATATTATACTTATGATTTTTCGTTTAATAAAATATCCCGTTTAAAAAAAAATTATTTTTGTTTTTTTTATTTATCTTATAATTTAATACCTTTTATGCAACAAAAAAAAAACTTTTATTGTTCGTTAGATTTTTTTTGTAAAAAAAAAATATTTTATATTTAAAGTTAAGTTTTCTTTGATTTGGAGTGAAAAAAATTATACTTTTAGGTATTCTTTGGAATTAAGTTGGAAAATATTGAATTTATGTATAATAAAGTAATACCTGAGGTGACAATTTTAAAATTTTATAAATTTAAATTACTAAAAAATTTTTTAATTGTCCCGAAAGTTCAAATGTCGCCGTTTTATTATTTCTCTACAGCGAATTATAAAAAGAACAAATAAAACGAATCCTTAATTTTTTAACATGATTTGAAATGATGAAATTCGAAACAAAAATTTTGAATTACCGAAACTTTTGTTTGAGCGATGAAATATGTTAATATTTAAGAAAAATTTTAATTTTTTATTCCTGTAAATGCTTATACAGAAATTTAGATTTTTGTTAACTCTTTTCTTTCCACAAGAACGAATTCTATGTATAACAATATTTTATATAAGCTCAAAACTTTAGAATTACATAAACAGAAGCATGTGTAATAATATCGACATTATCATCAATTTCCCATTAATTTTTCAACTAAGGCAACAAATTTATGAAAACACATGATACAAAAAATTTTAAGTAAAAAATCACCAAATCCTTTACACGAATCCAATACTTTCCAAAAATTAAAACTGAAAGTCAGTAAAGTTAAATAATTTTATAGAAAATTTAGAAAGGCAAGAAAATTTTTTTCATTTAATTATTTGTTTTACAGATTGGAGATAGAAAAAAAGGTTGAGGTTTTTCTTTAATGTTATGGTAACAGAAATGATTTACAAACGATTATTATTAAAGGACCAAAATTGCAATAAACAAATAAAATATCACAGTATTAATTTATAAAATCAAACTATTCACAGGCTTCCAATTTTAAAAAATGCCGTCCAATTTTTTTTTTAACACTAATATATTTTGTTGTTTCATTTTAGGACACTGTCAGTGAGTGAATGTCAAAAATTAATAATAATAATAAATTAAAAATAAAGTTAATTAAATTAAATAATTATTAAATTAATTAATTAATTAACAACGTAAGGAAAACAATATATTGCGTGGTACGAACAAAACTGTGATATTTAATTGTATAAATTAACAAACAAAACTATAAATTATAAATAATTCATTATTGATTAATTAAAAATATGAAAATGGTAAAATTCTTTTTTTTTTTTTTTTTAAATTAAAAAGAAAATTTCTCAAGCATTCAATTATAGGAAATTTTAATAATAAAAATTTTCATAAATGAATGGCTGACACTTAAAATTGTGTGTTTAATCGTTTCCTGTTTGTAAAAAAAAGTAAATAATAAAATAAAGAAAATATATGCTACATGTTTGGTAAAAATAAATTCAATTTGCAAATTATATATATTCAAACAAAAATAATAATTAAAAAATTGAAAAAACACAATATGAACACTTAAAAACTAAAATATAAATAAGTTCAAGTAAAAATTAATAGAGTTAATTAATTAACAAATAAACTGAATAATTGTAAGACTTTGTATAATTAACAAAAGCACTCTCGCGTCCTTTCGTATTCTCTTATCCCGTTTTAAATAAAAAAATGGATGGAATAATAATAATAACAATAATGATATTAATAATGATAATGATAATGAACTTGATTATAATGATTAAAAGGATAACGTTGGATTTTTAAATGAAAATTAATTAAAGCTGTTTGGTAACAATAATCATAAAAGAAGACAACGACATTAATTTATTTATTAAAAAAAGAGGATTCGATTCAACTTTGGGTGTGATTAAATTTTAAAATATAATTGTAGAAATATTAGTAGAGTAAATTTAAAAAATTAATTAATTCAAAATAAATAAATTCTGTGACAAATTATTATTATTTTGTTTTTAAATCAACTTGGAAGCAGTAGAATCTAAAAATAATTTTACCGATCAACTTTTATGTAAATCCAATAGTTGACAAGTATTTTGAATTTAAAACTTTGGGTTTTGAGTAATAAAACGTTCAATAATTATATGTATAATAATCAAATTAAATAAATTTTAAATTAATTTTTTTAATGTCTAATTAAAAATAAAAAAATTAAATGTTTATATTCACTTGTAAATAAATAAAAAGCAATGCAAAATAATTTTGTGTTCCATTTTTTTCCTTATAAATCTTACGTGTCTTTTTTTTTGTATTTTTAAGCGACGGATACCAGAAATTGGGTGAGTATATAAATTATACGGAAGTATTCGTAAATATTCGATTAATTTAGGTTGCTGATAAAAAATTAAAAAAAATTTATATTTTTACTTTTCAAGTCCGAAATTTTAGTATTATAAATTGCATTTCATTTTTAAACTACAAGATAAAAAACAAATATGTAAAAACTAACATATAGTGATTTTTATTAATTGAGATAGTAAACTAATAAAGAGATTAACTTAATTCATATCGTGATCCAAAAAAATCATTTTAGTGAATTTTTTTATCTTGAATGTAATCTTAAAAATCTTTTTTGCGTAGTTTAGAAAAGTTTAAAAAAATTCTCCAAAATTGATTTTTTAATTCAAAATTTTTTCTTTAAGACCAACCAAAGGTTTTTTTTGTCATTAAAAAGAAAAATAATCTGGTCTGATTAAAAAAATAAATTAAAATATTAAACAATATTAGAAATAACAAAATTTGAATTCTTTTTAATACATCTAAATATTTTAAATAATACTTTTGAATTCCTTCGCTTATGGAGAATTAATATTCTCAATTGTTTTGAATTCTTTTTTCTTACCAGATGACGTTTTACACTTTACAAGTGCCACTAAGAAATCAAAAGTGATTATCGATATCAGATAGCTAGAAATTAACTGAAATTTTTTTGAATAAGTTGAAGAAATTTTTGTTCCGCTTGTGAATTTCTGTACTATTGCTAAAATCAGTGTCATGGACTATAATTGAAATAGTCTTCTTAAGATGAGAATCACTTATATACCCGACTACACCAGAGAAAAACAAACAATTAACTATAATTACACTGCCCAATTAAGTAATCAAAAAAAAATTAAAGTTAATAATAAATAAATAAATAAATAATATAAAAACTAAAGTGATATTACGTGAGACGCTTAATCTTGAGTCACTCAGACATTTTTTCATCACTTGTTTATTTAAATTGCTTGGTGAAGGTACTTAAACACGTATTTGATTATTCCGTGATAAAACAGTTATTAATAAGTCAGCAAAATCTCAATTCAAATCTCTAAGTACCCGGGTTTTAATAAACCGATAATAATAAAAGAAGAAATAAAGTTCTCTAACCGTTGATCCCAATTGAATCACAACATACGCCATCTTGTTTCTGTTTCCATAAACATAGAATACATAGAAGCGCGTGTGTAGTTTATATGTACAGTTGGCATTGTTATTTCCGTTGTACGTTTTATACAACCCGGCGAGGTTGATGGTTTTCTCTTTTACCGTGCCGTGAAGTAAGGAACTCTGTTAGTACAAATGAAATGAAGTTCGCGTCGTAAACCTACGGCCAGAATTTGACGTAAAGTTAACGCTAACAGTAAGGCAACAGTTGTACTTATAACTGTTTACGTAAAGTTATAACGTCAACTTTCCGCAAACTCCGCGTTAGCTTTGAGCGAACCTTTCGATCAATTCCGGCAGTAAATTTACGCTAACTTGATGCGTAAGTTGAAGTCAAGTTCTGGGAAACTGTTGCAAATGCAAAAGTTGACGTGAAGTTAAACGTAAAGTTGACGAAAGCCATTAAATATCAACAAATTGATTGTCAACTCGTGCTAACTGGGCAGGGTATCAAGGATAATTTTTAGGTTTTACTTACCATCATATGTTATAGCGATCCTCTCACTTCCCAGTTAGCACGGGTTGACCATCATCAACTAAGTTGATATTCAATGGTATACGTCAACTTTACCTTAACTTTACGTCAACCTCTACATTTGCAACAGTTTCCCAGAACTTGACTTTATAATAATAATTAATTCGATTTACACGAAGATGAACACAGTTAAGATGCGAATATTTTTCTCTGTTGTATTCTTGTACTTTTTGATCATTCAGGCAACTTTTTCGGGTCACCTTGCGGCTTTTTTGACCAAACCTGTGTACAGAAAAAATGTTGAGACTCTGGAAGATCTAGAGGATTCTCGTTACACTAAAATTTACGCGCATAAAAGCAGTAAACCCTACATCAAAGGTACGTCAATATTCAACAAAACTATATTTCGAAGTAGTTGTGACGATTACATTAACGATACATCAGTCGCTTGCATTTATCAACAAAAATCTTTATTACAATTAATATCTCGCTATAATTTGCACACCCCTAAAAATTTCGTCAAATTTAGCTACTTCATACTAAGACTGTCTCACAATTGGGCTTTGAGACAGCGCGTTAACAATATGCTTATACGCTTAGCACAATCTGGAATTTCAGACTTTTGGAACAAAAATGGGAGTGAAATGAGCAGTAAAACGTCAAAAATCATCGAATATTCTAACAAAAACTATCATCGACCGATTAAGCTGGAGGATGTTATGTTTGCATTTGTTTTGCTTGGAATCGGTTTATTTTCTTCAATCGTTAGTTTTATTGCAGAATACTTAATAAAAATTTTCACGTTAAAAAAAAAAAATTTTGCATCCTTATCTAAAGCAAAACAATTTTCAATACTTATGGTGCGCTTTTTTTTGGGATTTTGCAGGCTATTTGAGAGATTTTACAGTTAACTGTTAAAAAATATGCTGTTAAATTAGATGAATGTCTATTGTAAGTTGGGTTAAAGTAATCAAGTGTATTTGGAACTTACAAGATGTACTTTTGTAATTTGAGTGTAATATACAACTTTGAATATATTACAATTGTAATTAAAATAATATACCAAGATTACTACAGATTGTAATATCAGATTGTAATAAGAGTTTTAATTTTTTTTTTCTTGTGTGAATGTAATCTCTTTGTATAAATCGTTGATTAAGTATACATCTATGTGTTAGCAAAATTCCAATTATTCTATGCGCCCCACAATGTTTGTTAGTAAACAATGAGTTGTTTTCAGCTGTATGATTTCCAAAGTTAGGGAACTAGGACAGTGACATTCATAAAATATTAACTAATGTCAAAAAAATTGGGTTCTTTAAACTCTTGTTTTTGTTTTGACGGTCACGCAATCGAGTAGATCATGATACGATATCTTTGTTTTAATTCACGGCAGTATGTAAACAAAAAAACTAGGGTGACTGAATAATTACAGATATTATTTAGAATATAAATATTGTGCAGCCAAAACTAGTAGGAATTAAACCTTGCTCGCAGCTAGTCTTTTTAAAAAATGAGGATAATAATTGCTTTAGTGATAATTCAAAATTTTGTGATTGGGCAAATTCAAGTTCCCGCTGAAGACAGTTTAGATTTGTTCAACAACATGATGGTGAGTTACTGCGAATAGAAAATATTTATAAGCTTTCTATTGACTAATCTGTTTGATTCTAGAAATATTTGTTCGATAATTGTAGATCGGAATTTGGGACCATAGGATTTTGGGGCAACGACAGAATCTTCCTAGAAGACGATGAAGCTGATTTTGTTTTGCTGAATGACAGTGAAATTTTTATATACCCATCGACCCGGAGAATTGAATTTCTAGTCGAGATTTATGAAGAATTAAATCATCGCTCGCCAATAATAGATTTGTTTAAAGCGATGCCAACGCCGAAAATAGAAACGTTATTTATTTTTGAGAAAAATGGTCACAACCCTGCAACTGTGGTCGACGAATTTACCCGGTACCAAACGATGTTTCATAATTCTAAAGTTTATTATTGTTTTGAGTGAAAAGGACAAATTGTCATAGTAACTTTAAATTCGTTTGCGGATTTTGCTCCAACACTTTGGATGAGGGATCCTTAGATTTATCTGTTCGTCGATGATGATGATAATCCCTTACAATGGTCGGTTTATAAAACCTTTTACAAGAAGGATACTAAATTCAATTATGGTGAGTTTAAAAGATGACACTTAATATTTAAATCATTATACATCATTGTACTAAGGAAAAAAAATACCATTGAGAGAATTATTTTGATAGAATAATATATTATTGAGAATATATTTTCTTGTCTGAAAAATTCGTAGTATTGATAATGAAAAAAACCACAACTAACAAACATTATTTTTAGCAGGTTCTCAGCTCTGTGGAAATATATTCTTCGATCGCACTGAAAAACTAAATGGCTACACGATCAAAGCAGCAGCAAAAATAAATTATCATGTGGATCGAATGCTTGTAAAAATTGACGGATTAATCACTAAAGTCAATAGCACTAAAGAGGTCAACTTCATACTTGCTTTAAGAGATGGACTATTCAGCAAAGTATTAATAGACTATTTGGACGTATCAATAGAGATTTATGGCTCGCCAATTAATGACTGCGTACGAACTTGGTACGCAATGCTGATAAAAGAGCTTGATATATCGCTAACACCGCTCACTTGGACAGACCATAATATATACTTCCATGTGTCAAAATTCCTTTCTCTGACTTACCCATTCCATTCATTCCATGAGCAGATAGTGACTCACAATCGCGGGTTGACCTCACCTCTAGAGAAAATGTTCGAGTTTTACGGATGGGTGACCATTATCGCTACTCTTTTCATACTTTTGAGTGTATTCATCGTTATTTACCTATCAAACAGTGTAAATAATTCCAAATTATCTTTTGCGGTTTTTGAGTGCTTGAGATTATTGATAAACAATTCGATTTACACGCGGATGGACACAGCTAAGATAAGAATATTTTTTTCTGTCATATCTTATACTTTTTGATCATTCAGGCAACTTTTTCGGGACACCTTGCAGCTTTTTTGACCAAACCTGTGTACAGAAAAAATGTTGAGACTCTGGAAGATCTAGAAGATCCTCGTTACACTAAAATTTACGCACGTGAAGGAACTATGGACTACTTAAAAAATACATCGTTATACAATAAAACTATATTTGATGATAATAATTGTGAAAAATACATCGAAGATACATCAGTCGCTTGCATTGATGATCAATCTCATTTAGAACCGTTAATAGCTACTTATAATTTCCACACCCCTAAAAATTTCGTTAAACTAAGCTACGCTACACTGACAATGGCTCACAACTCGGCTTTAAGACGCCGTATTAACAATATGGTTGTGCGTTTGGCACAGTCTGGAATTCTGGACGTTTGGAACAGAGCTTGGGAGGAATTGTCTAATAAAAATGCAACATATCATTTGAAAAAAATGGAAGATATTGTTGAAAACTACCATCGACCAATTGAGCGAGGAGATGTAACTTTTGCATTCTTTTTGTTGGGCATCGGTCTATCTTTGGCGATCATTTGTTTCATTGTAGAATATTTCTTTAAAATTTGCACGTTAAACAAAACAAAAATGTATACGTTGTCATCGAAAGCAAAACGATCTACGATACATTTTTTTCGCATTGTTATTTTAGGGTTTCGCAGACTATTAGAGGGGTTGTACAGTTGTTCGGTTGAAGTCATTGGTTGAGTGAGAATACGTATCTATTAACATTAATTAATTAGTTTAGTCATTGATTTAGTGTGTATACTTGTAAAAAAAAATTAATGTAGTAAATCTTTTATAAATAACTTTAATCAGATTTTTGTCTAAATTTTCAATTTTTTTCCTCCTTGTGTAAAGGAAATCATTTTTGATAAAAAAAAATGAATTTAGCTATGTATTAATGTAATCACGTATCTCCATAACATAGTTACTGACATACAAACTCAGGCTGATAATAGTGTTATTCTGCGTGAAGTAGACGATCGCATGGCCAGAAGAAACAATGCCCTTTTTTTAGGCATTGGTGAATCCCAAAAATCTACTCCTAATGAGCGTCAAGAGGATGACCTTTCCAGAGTTCAGGGTATTTGTGATACTCTTGCTAATAACGTCTCAATCTCCTCCTGCTCAAGATTGGGTAAATATTCATCAAACTCACTACACCCTAGGCCAATTAAGGTTACTTTTGTTAACCATGTCTCTGTTGATCAGATTATAAATGGATTGATAAGAGCAAAGAAAGCCAAGAACTCTCTCTTGTCAGTGGAGAATCTTTCGATAGTTCACGACAGAACAAATCTCCAAAGGAACGAACAAAAGAAACTACGTCAACAACTCCAAGAACGGACAGCTGCAGGGGAACAGAATTTGAGGATTGTTACTCGTGCTGGCCAACCGATGATAATCAAGGGCCATCGGAATATTTTAGCCTCGACTCCCAAAAACTCAGCTTCTTAAACTCCACCTCATCCTGTCTGACATTATATTATCAGAATGTCAGGGGACTAAATACCAAATTAGATAGTATATTTTACAAAACTTGTATGGCTGAGTATGATTTTTATGCTTTTTCTAAAACCTGGCTCAAAACAGGTGTATTAAATAATGAAATTTATAGTAACGACTATTCTGTTTTTAGGTACGATAGACGTGAGGAGTTCAGGAGGTCGGGTAGAGGTGTGCTGATTGCAAGTTGGAGTACGCTTAATGCTATACCTATAAAATTTGATGATTTACTATTACTCTTCCCTCAGTTTGAAATTGTGGGAGTATTCTTTATTAATCTTGGTATAAAAACTCATCTAATCAACATCTATATCCCACCGGACCTGCATGCACATATCTACTCTGACCTCCTTGAACGACTCTCGTCTCACTCGGCCATGGATGCTGGTGCGTTGGTGTTGCTGGGCGATTTCAACTCGCCACATTTTGTTGACTCTCCTGCTGGGGGCTTGGACACAAAGGCTGATCTGTTAATTAATTTCTCTATACTTAATAACATTACGCAATATAATGAAGTTCTCAACATACATGGTTTCTTCAACGGATTCCAATATTAGTACCGCAAAGATGCTTAAGTTCCGATCAGCCTTTTTACCCGCCTCGGCAGAGGAGCAATTTCACCCTCTCTTCACCTATTAATAGACTGATTAACGCCTGCAATTATATAGTCCACCAGAACAGTGATATTGACCTGCTTGGCTATCAATCGCGTTGCAGCGCCAATGCCCTGACATCCATCATAATTAACTCTAGACAATTTATTTAGCTAAAGCATATGATCATACTCTATCTCCTTAATAATCATATATATTGTACTGAGCTTATCTATACTATCGTAATGTAATAATTAGTCACTAATCTGATTAATTATTTGATCGTAATTTATCATGAGATCAAAATTTCACTGTTATATAATGTAAAAATAATAATACTCAAGTCCGCAATGATAAATAAAATTTTTAATTAAAAAAAAAACTCTTGATTCTAAAGAAATATTCTTAACTTGAGAAAATTGTTTTGAAAAGAATAATAATCTTCTATCTTGGAATTCTTTTTTCTGATGTTGTAAAAGTACAAATTTATTTTTTCCCTTATGAAGACAAAATCATTTTGCATAAAACACATGATTTAAACTCTGTATCTATGTGTTAATAATGTTGATAACTCATCAATAAAATTTCAACGAAGGTAAACAGATTTTGGCTTTGTTCAATTGGTCACGTTATCAAATAAATTATGATTTGTCATCTCTACTTTTAATAAATACAATATGTCACCAAAACACACAGAAGGGTGATTAAACAACTGTAGATAAATAAAAATATCAATATTATGCGCAGGAAAAAAGTGATAGGAACTCAAACCTGATCACAGTAAGTGTAACTTTTGAAATGAAAAAACTGATCGCTTTAGTGTTGATTCAAAATTTTGTGATTGGGCAAATTCAAATCCCACCTGAAGACGGCCTAGATTTGTTCAACAACATGATGGTAAGTTTGTAAGAGTAGTAAATAATTATAGGCTTTTTAAAGACTAATTTGTTCGACTCTAGAGATACTTGTTCGATAATTGTGGATCGGAATTTGGAACCATAGGATTTTGGGGCAACGACAGAATTTTTCTGTCAAACGATCAAGCTGACTTTGTTGTGCTGAATGACAGTGAAGTGCTATTACATCCACCGACCCGAACGATAAAATTTCTCGTGATGATTCTCGACGAATTAAATCCAAATAGGCCCGCTATTTTTCTTTATAAGGCAATACCGACCCTTGCAATAGAAACAGTTTTTGTCTTCGACAAACGTGGATATAACGAAGATTCCATGAACAAAATATTTTATTGGTATCAACTTTATTTCGAAAATTCAAAAGCTTACTATTGCACCGAAACCGAAGGAAGGCTTGAGGTATTAACTATCAACGCTTTCACGAATTTTACTTTGCAGTTATGGATCAAGATCAAACAGTATTATTTCGGTAGCAACGATAATTATGAACATTGGACAGTTTTGAAAACCCATTATTATAAAGGAGCTAAATTTAATTATAGTAAGTAGCAAAATTTCTATTGAAATTTAAATAAGTTGTAATTAAAATTTGTAATTTTACTTTTGATTTTTTAATTACAATCTTTAAAAAGTTAAGTACTACACTACAAGAATTTTTGTTTTAATATTACCATTAAATTCTCTGTAATCATGGGACAATGCAGTCCTTAATTTTTTATCATTTTTGAAATAAAAATTACGTAAAAATGAATTTATTTTACAGTAGACTAGATAAAATTTATAAAAAGTTTACGGTACACTGACAAAATAATTAATTTCAATCAAATGAAAAATTCTTTAACCAAGCAAATAATTTTGAAGAGATAATCAAGACGAAAAATCCTTGAATTAAATAAAATTTATTTAAACCAATACAAATTTCTGAGTTTAAAAATTTGTCTACTAAAATCAAGAAGATCAAGCTCTTCAAAATTCGTGCCATCTATCCCACGATTACACTATGAATGTATAACGGTAATTTATAAAGGAAATTTCTTTCAATGTAATCATTAGATTAATTAGTTAACGATTTAAAATATGTATTAAATGTATCAACAAAATTTCCCCCTACAGGTTCCGATGTCTGCAGAAATCTATTCTTTGACCGCACCAAAATATTGAATGGCTATAAAATGAAAGGAGGGGTGAGAGTCGTTAATAATTTCGGGAAAAAATTTAAAGTGGAAAAATCGATAATTAGTAAAGACACCTTGAAGTCACCTCTAGTATTCTTAGCATTAGGATTGCAACAAACTCGATTAATCAAAATGTTATTAAACTATTTAAACATCACTATTATTATTATAACTTACCAAATGCCAGACAATAGGGAAGCTGATGTAAGCAACAAGTTATCATCTCGTTTCTGTGATCTATGCTTTACACCAATTTCTCCAATAGAGCACGAAGACAACCCTGATTTTTACGCTTATTTTCGAATGTCATACCCAATTAATTTTCTTTACGATGTGATAGTGACTCACAATCGAGGACTAGAGTCTCCTTTGGAGAAAATGTTCAAGTTTTACGGATGGTTGACTATTATTGCCACGACGGCCATAATCTGGATCACTTTCACTGTTATTTATTTATCAAACAGTCAAAACAGTTCCAAATTGTCTTTTGCAGTTTTCGAATGTTTAAGAATACTGCTAAGCAATTCGATTTACACGCGGATGAACACCGCTAAGATACGCATATTTTTTTCTGTAATATTTTTGTACTTTCTGATCATTCAGGCAACTTTTTCCGGTCATCTTGCGGCTTTTTTGACCAAACCTGTGTACAAAAAAAATGTCGAAACTCTTGAAGACCTAAAGGATCCTCGTTACACTAAAATTTACGCACGTAAAGGAACTGAAAGCTACTTTGACGACCCGGTGCCGTTCAACAAAACTCAATTCGATATCAACGCAGACTGTGTGAAATATATCTCCGATAAATCAGTTGCTTGTGTTGATTACAAGAATTATCTGGAATATTTAATACCTGATCACAACTTGTACACTCCTAAGAAAAATTTAATGTCCATCTACTCATTACTGATGATGCGAGGTAACTGGCCTTTAAAGGACCGTGTTAATAATCTCGTCATGTCGTTACATCATTCTGGAATTAAGGACTTATGGGATAGAATGGACAGGCGCAATCTTAATAAAGTGCTTAGAAAATTTCAAGATAATGCTGAAAATTATAATCGACCTATTGAGATTGGGGATGTCATGTTTGCGTTTGATTTGCTTGGCGTCGGTCTTTTTTTTGCCATTATCTGCTTTATAGTAGAATGTATAATTAAAAAATTTCCAAAAATAACAACACAATCACTGAAACGTTCGAAAAGATAAAAAAATGTATGATATTTAATGTACGTCGAAATTCTCATAAGTTTTTAATTTTAATAGGAATTTAAATTGAATAATCAGTATTTATTGAACATTGAAATATTGTAAATTATAACCCAAAAATTACTTAATTTATTATTTTTAAAAATTTTAATTGTTTACCTTAATTTTTCCGCCATCCTTGTGAGTTAATTGGTTGACGAAGATAATTAAGTCTATTACAATACAAGTGAAGTATGTTCGTGGCTAATTAACTAGTAAAAAAAAAATTAAACACGTGTTTAGTGATCACTGAAGCGCGCCAGACTGAGGAGCGTTTAATTTAATTTGAATTCTGTGTCATGGCGATCACGCGCATGCGCGTTACTTTTACAAAACATTTACGCAATTGCTTTTAAAACTAAGGTAGTACTACCGTTACCACAAGTGTCAAATCCCAAAACCTATTAACCTTATTTGATTAACGTAATAGATTTCCCTATACTAAATTACGTTGGAGAAAGAGAGACAGAGATAAATTTTAAATGTTTTTTATTAATAAATATTCTCATATTCTTGGAAACCATACTGATTGTTATTAAATATGTTCTAGATATTATTTCCTCTCGTTGTCTTGATTTTTATAAGAATCTGAACGTCCAGTTTTGTGAAATAAAATAAAGTCTGTGATTCTCCATAAGGATCAATGGTAAAAGCAAAAATATGTAGATATTAATATCTTTTTTTCAGGACTTGCTCGGCTTCCAAAAATTTTAATGCTTAATTATGATATTATAAAGTACCAATATGCTAAATTTCATTAAATTCTGAACGTCAATTCTAAAACCGGTAGTACTACCTTAACACGTATTTTATTTTTTTTTTTAGTTAATTATTCACCGACATTTTTATACTTCTCTTGTAAGATAAAGTAACCAGTACTTGAACAATTTTAAAAATGGTCCTAGTACTTGAGCAGTTTGGAAATTCTTATATTATTAAAAAACTCCGGCCGTAAACATTAATATTTAATGTATATTAAGATAACTTGATGTCTTAATTAATAATACAAGAAATATTTTTTAATTTTAAAGCTAAATATTTTATTTTATTTAATATCTAATGACAGGATCATTCAAAGTGTCAATTAGTATTGATTTTTTAATGAGAATGATACTCACCACCACAATAGAAAAATGGCGAAATGACCCAAAATATTTGAGCATTCAACAAAAAAACTTAACCAATCAAAAATATAGATCATTTTGCAAAATATTCTGTTGTTAATAAGGTGTTTTAATTATTTTTTTATATTTAATTTAGCTGTTCAAGTATACCTCCCAATTTTAAATGTAGGACCCAAAAGTTGAACGACATAGCGCCGTGTGTTCAAGTATACCGTCTCTTATTTTTACATGACTGTAGTACTTTAACTGTTTAACTCAATGTTAAACAAATATTTTTAACATTTAATGTTTTAAAAAATACATTAAATCGTATAGTACCAAAAAAATTATACAAATAAAGTAAATAAAAAAAAACTATAAACAAAATTTATTATTTTTAGGGCGAATAATAGTGTTTGAGAAATAAAAAAAAAATTACACGTTTTTACCTCACGTTAAAAAAATTAATATTGACAAGCGCAAGATATTTAGTTGCGTAAATTAAATATATTATAAAAGTAACGCGCATGCGCGGGACCGCCATGACACAGAATTTAAATTAAGCGCTTCTCAGTTTGGCGCGCTTTATTGACAACTTACCAGTATCGGGAGACAAATCTTTATATTTTTAAAAAATCCAGGACACAACGTCGCCAACAACTGCACAACTTCCTGTAGCAGCGGTCACAGGAACTGGTGGTAGTTATCGGCCCTCGAAAATATTTTTTACCAAGATTAAAAAAAAAATCTTGGTGTTTTTTAAAAATTCAGGACTAAACGTCGCAAATAACTGCACAACTTCCTGGAGCAGCGGTCGCAGGAGCTGGTGGCAGTTATCTGCCCTCGAAAATAGTTTTTACCAAGATTAAAAAAAAAATCTTGGTGTTTTTTAAAAATTCAGGACTAAACGTCGCAAATAACTGCACAACTTCCTGGAGCAGCGGTTGCAGGAGCTGGTGGCAGTTATCGGCCCTTAAAAATATTTAATACCAGTATCGGGAAACATTTGACATAATAGCTGGAATATATACATAACATTTGTTTTCAACAGCGTACATCAGCAATGTTTTATTTGTAAGGCTTATAATGTCTACGTTGATTTTTTTGAGATGAAAAATTATTGATGATTTATCATAAATAACAGTATATGCAACTAGTGGCATTTTGTCACCAAAATCGAGACACCATTTTATGTCTTTGAAGTGTTTTGAAAAAATATCTTGTCCAAATTCGGCATCAACTTTTGCATTAGCTTTCACCAATATTTTTATTTTAAAGCTTACTTCTCGTTTAATACGATCCTGCAGTGATCCGTCGGGTGGTTCATAAAAACAAGCCAAATGAATGGATTGAGTCCCGTCAGCAGCCATTACATTGACATCTGCTTTATAATCATTAACTAGTAAGTCCACCACCTCGTGATCATTATACCTATTTTTCATGCATGCAACATGCAATGCTGTGAATCCAGCAAATTCTCCAGTTGTTATTATCAGTTCATTTACATTAATTTCATTTTCTAATAACAATTTAAGATCTTCCAATTTGTCTTCTTTGATGGCTTGATACATCAGTGAGTTGCCAGCTGTTGTTGGATTTAATTCAGAATCCATTTTATATCTTCTTCACTGTAATAATAATAGATAAATATATAAATTATTAAATATTAAACTTTATACTAATACCTCTGTCAACTGTGGAGAATGTGGCACAAAATATTTTATAGGCTCTTTTACTTTTGTTTCTTCTTTGTATTTAATACTACTTAACTATTTTTAATTTTCACTGTTAATATATATAATATTTAAATTTAGAAAATATTATTAGTAGAAATTTTCTTTTTATTGTAAATTATTTGTTACACAGAAAAAAAGAATTATTTGAACTGAATAAGATTTATTTGAGCCAAAGATATCGTATACTTGGATATGGCCAAATAAATATTTATTTGTGAGAAATATACGATATATTTAAGCTATACGTTTTTAATGAAAATGGCGGTCACTTGAGAGTCAGTTCGGGTGACGTCCGAAGAATATGCGCACGCAGTAGTTGAGAATTCAACATTTGACTGGTACCCTCAAAGATGCCGTTGTTTACCATAAACTTAGCATCTTTACCACAAATAAATGATATATTTCTGATTAATAATAAAATAATTCGAGTCAACTGTTATATTTACTTGTACCAAATATATATGGTTGTCACAAAGAAATATTTAAAAAAATGACTCAAATAAATTGATTTATTTGAGACAAATAATTCTTTTTTTCTGTGTACTAGAAATTTGAATAGCGCGCTACGCGCGCGCCTTGATTTCAACCAATAAGAAATCGTGGCCCGTTTTTCGCGAGTTTCGACCTTTGACTAACTTCAAAACTTTAATGTATTTTAATTTAAAGGATAAAAAAAATTAAAAAAATTGACAATTGTCAGCCTACTTCAGTATCATGAAAAAATAAAAATTGTAGGATCTAACTATAATTAATAATTATATTTTTTATAGTTGACAAATTACTATAAATTAACTTACATATACTAATCACACCACAAACATTGGCTGTACGGGACTCCCCAAAGGCGAGCTGAGCGCAACTCATCAAGGAAAAAAAAACAATTACAATAATGTTATTTTTTTATTATTAATAATTTATAATAAGTAATTTTAACCCGGAATAAAAAAAGTATTGAGACAAAGAAAAAAGTATTGGATTGACTAGAAAACCAATACTTTTCAATACTTTTTTCTTTGTCTCAATACTTTTTTTTAATCAGGGACACTAAAAATAACTGTTATTAACAAAAATAATTACATTTTATTTGTTGTAGTTTATAACTTAATTTTTCTGGCCGTAAATTGTAAATAAGTTGGCGATCAATTTATAGGAAACTTACGGTTAAGGTGGCTATCAGGCCAAGTTGACGAAAAGTTTACGTCAACTCAACTTAAATATGAACTTCTGCTATTAACTTGACGTCCAATTCTGTCACTGGGTTTACTTGACGTGTAAACTTGATGTTATTTGTGCTAACTGAGATATTTTTTATTAGAAAATTTTGATTTCAATTTTTTTAGCTTGTTTTAATTTTATCGCGCTCCCATTACATATTGAGGTCAATTCTAAAAATATCAACTTGTTTTGTAGAAACTTTGGATATCTTGATACGCAAAAGTAAGATGAGAAAATTTCTTACCGTAAAATGACCAAGTAGCTGATAATTTACTTCATAAACAAAAATCTTGAGTAGCAGAAAGAGAAAATTATTTTTTTTGAAAAATAAATTTTGTACTTTACGATTGAAAATTACAAGATAAACTCACTTTTTAAGATTAGTGTAATAATGTTAGTGCCTTAAATTGAAACTATTGGAAGAACATGCGGAAGTGCGTGTATTGTAATATAAAAAATGTAAAAGGTGGAGAGTTATCTTTTGTTAGGTGAGTATTTTATGTCCTTGTAGTCTTGAAAATTATTATTGTTATTATTAATAACGTTTTATTTTTTAGTAAAAGTAAATTAAAAAATAGAATAAAAGATAAAGTTTGATATGAATTAAGATTGTTTAATAATTTTGTATGCGTATAATTATTAAACTTATGAGTACAATTGTAGGAGACGTTTGTCACATTGTCATTAATTTATTTATTACATCAAAAACAATAAAAAAATACATTTAAAAATTGTTTACAAGTTTTCCCATGCAATTTTTCATTTGTTTTTTTAAAACAATAAAGTTTGAAATTACTTAAAATTTTTGAAAATTAGATCGCTATTCTATCACATTAATAACAGTTCTTAATACGTAGATTAATTGGCATGTAAGTGGAAGAAAATTCAAAAATCGAATATAAAAATATTACAAAAATCTTTTACCTGAAATTTTTTTTTTCAATTTCAATATATGTAATTGTACTTAACTTATCACTAAGATTTAATTAATGTAGGTTATATTTTAAATATTAATAACTATGACTGTTAATTAACTCATTAATAATGAATTGTTTAGATTTCCAACAGACGAGAAGATACTTCAACTCTGGATCCAAAATATGAACTATGAATCAAATTGGAAGCCGTTGAAAAATCATTACTTATGTTCCCAGCACTTTTCAAGCGAGTGTTTTGATTTTCGAGATAAACTCTACCGATTACGAAAAGGCAGTATTCCAACAAATTTTGATCGAAGTAAAGAAAATGTTGTTTTAGTTAGCAATTACCGTCAAATATTAGACGACGAAAAACATGTCTGTGATCCTCTAACTAAAAGTGAGACCTTGAAATTTTTAAAACTTATTAGTATTAATATTCATATTAATTATTTATAAACTCAATTACTATAAATTGTAGGACTGAATGTTACAAGCAGCATTTTAAATAGCGAAGAATCTTATAATTGCATAGCGGAAACCATGTCAAAAGTCAATACAGGTAATAAAAGTTAATATGAAATATTCTATTAATTAATTGTGTTTTTATAATTGTTTTATTTTATCACTTTTTTTAGAGACAGTACCTATGCGCGTAATCGACCATGATCATTCATATGGAGAAACTCAAGAAAAATTGAAAAAAGATCTGATGTTAGCAATGGCCAAAATTGACCAGCTCACTGCTAAGAATCGTACTTTGCTTAAAAAGGATAAGCGCAATAAACAAAGAATAGCTTCGATGATTCAAGTTATAAATCAGTTATCAAAGAAGAATGTTTCTTGTTCTTGAAATTATTTAAATCTAAGTTTGTTGTACTTTTTGATAAGATTTTATATTGGAAGTTTTAAGACCGTAGAACTGTACGAAAAGAAACTCTGGACGATTGTACGCTCAAGCAAGAGTCAGAATTATTTTACTAGTTACATTGAAATTAAATATTTTCATATGTTACAAACTTTTACTTTGTTTTAGTTGATTGTTTTATGACTAATACATATATAAAAATTATTATTTCCATTTTAACTACTACTTTTTTCTTCCAGTCATTTGGATCCTGAAAAGGTGTCTTAAATAAAATTTATCCTTCGGTAAATTTCATCCTTTGGAATCGTTAAAATCGAAATTTTAGTTATTAGCTTATAAAATCAGAAAAATATTTATTATAATTGATGAAGCGTTTAAATAATTTTAAGTTTTTGAGTTTTTGATGAGTTAAAACTCATTTTTGAACCATCGAAAACCATTCCTATGATTTTTATACTCACAATCATTGAGAAGAACCATCTTACAATCTTCTTTGCACTTGTGCTGTAAATAAAAACTTATAGCACTCAAATTTCTCGTTATCAAATGAAAATTTTCAAAAAAGCGCTCTGTTAAGGACCTGTGCAAATTTAGCACCCCATCTGAGGATTTGCGAAGTGCAAATGACCTTAATCGATAGATCCATCAAAATTTTCGTTAGGTCCTTTATAGTTTTTTTATAAATAATTTTTTTAATTTTAATGAAAAAAAAAAATACATTTTAGCACCTCATTCAATGAAAAGCTGACCAATTTAATCATAATCTTATTTTTTATCGTTAGGTCCGTATTGGTCCATCATTTTGGTTATTAAATTATTTGTTTTATTTATTTAATTGATAATTATAAAATAATTAAAAGCTGCACATGCGCATATTATGCATAAATGGCGCGAAATTTAAATTGCTCCCGTTTCCTTTTATTTTTGAATCAATAAATAAATCACCCGAAGGAAGTTAGCGCAGAAAGTCGTTTTTTTTAATTAACTATGTACCAAACAATTGCTCTTCTAATGCTCTATCAGAATCTATAACTGCTTTACTTCCGTGATTATTAATTATTTAATAATTAATTTTATAAAAATTAAATTATTGGAAAATTAACTTGCCTATGAGTTGAAAAATACAGGCTTTTAAGGTATATATAATTTTTATCGTACGTTCCACCATATACATATATATCTTCTGATGACAACTAATACTTGTTACAAATTTCTTTATCGACAGAAATAAAAATAAGCCAATCAAAATATAACCTTAAAATTTGACAAAATGTCAAAAATGGCAAGTTAACATAAAAATAAACAGATACATATTTAATTTAAATAGTTTTCTAATTTAAGTTTATAAATATGAAGAAATCTAATTTCAAAAATCATAAGTGATGAGTAAATTAAAATAATCATACTACATACTAAAAGTCAATAGATAATTATAAATATATATTTTCAATAATAATAATAATAATAATAATAATCTTATTATTTAAACAAAAATGACTTGGTAAGTTAAATTTATCAATATTTATTAAACTAGGTAGTTATCATGAAGTTTTTTAATTTGTAATTTTTTCTTTATCATAGGAATCCAAGAAAAAAAAATTACTTAAATTTAAAACCATCTCTAGCACCACCACTGCTTTCAGTCACAGAAGACCGTGATCTTAACTTGGCTGTCCAACGTTTGATGCAGTAATTTATTTTTTTCATAATTTTAGTTCATAGTTTGTATCATTTTTTTTTCTCCAATAAAAAAAAAGCAATAGTTAGTAAAATTTTAAAGTTTTATCAGAGTAAAAATTGAAAATCTTTAGAAGTATAAAAAATAATTAATAATTTCTAATTCAATTGAACTTACTTATTTTAGCGTAGAAGCTACAATCCGAAAATTGACCAAAGAAACAAAACGTTATCTCGAAGCGATAACAAATTTGGACCGTGCTGATCAACGGCTGACGACAAATCTCAGCGCCTGTGAATTGATCCACATAAATGATGAATTTCGTCACATTGTCGAGGAATATTTAACCATAACAACTCAGGTGGGTAAAACGGTCCAGGATGTCAATCTGCTGTCCCATAAAACGTTTATAGAGCCTCTAAAAAAATTGCGCGATGAATTTGCACTCATCGCCGAAGCACTCGCCAAGCGAGAAGAGATAGTCAATACCTGGAGAACGGCACACAATCGGTTGAAGAAGCTTCAAGAGAAGAAGGATAAAACGGCGAGTCATGTCGTCAAATTAGAGCGCGAAAAACGGGCCGAAGAAGCAGCAGCAAAGGAATTAAAGTCTATACACTCGCGATTATTAGTCGAGTTGCCCTGGTTTCTGGAAAAAAGGCTTGACTACATAAAACCTTCGATCAATGCTTTAATTATGATACAGTTGGACTATTATGGCAATACTATGAAATTGTTCAACCAGCTCATGCCACTTGGGAACTATACCTCTGATGATGAAGATGCGCTGGTTAATGAGCAATTTACTCGGATTAAAAGTTTGACCATTGTCAAAGATCATTGATGATTAAAAATATGATCTTCAAAGTGCGTAATTATTGTATTATAATTTAAAAAATTGTTTATTCTATTTACTTATCATTTTTTGTATTGTAGGTGCGCCAGAAATGAACGTTGGGGAACATTTCTATCAACTTTTGATACAACCAACGCTATGCAATCAATTATTTTATATAAAATATAGATCGTTCATTTTCATAAGTCACCGTACTGAATTACACAATTACCAGTATCTCTAAGATTCGGTAGTCATTAATTAACTTTATTATTATTTTTTTTATTTAATACAATTAGTAGAGGAATAATTAGTGAATGGATTTAAAATCCACAAAATTATTATAAATAATTTTTATATATTCTTATGAAGGACAAAATTTTTTTTTGTTTTCTCTCAAAGTATCAAGTAATTTGATGAAAAAAAATTTCGAAAAATTTTATTTTTTACAATTAATTTTAATAATTTTTTTATTAGTGTATTAATTTTTTTTCGAGTTACTGTATTAATTTATTGAACTATTAATCATGACAATTGTTTTAAAAGATTTTTAACATCTACACAGAAAAAAAATTTACTTGAATCAAGTAAATAATTTCGAAGAACTTTATTTTCTTGATTTGAGTAGAAAAATTATTAAACTAGAAATTTTTTTAAGTTAATTTTTTTTCAGTGTATGAGGAAATTTTCGTAATAAAAATTTTATGTACAATAAAATTACAGTAGATGTTTATGAATATATTATTTATATTGATGAAAATATATTGAAAAAAATTATAAATTTCATAATTTCAGGATTTTTTTGTCAAAATTTATGTTTATATAGATTCTGTTGTAAAATTGTTAAATTTTTTGTGATTCATTGAATTTCTTTCTTGCATAATGGAAAAAAATTCAATTTTATTTTTTTCAATAACAATAGACTTTTATTTAAGAAAAAGTGGTTTACATGTGATTTATTTTTATTAATTAAATTTAATAAAATTACATAAAGCTTATGACTCGATCTCTTAATTTCTATTATCCTATCTAATTTTAAGCTTTCCTAATTTCTGAATAAATACTAGTTTTAATGCACAGTATTTCAATTATTTTTTAAAATCTTTGAATTTATTGAATTTAAAATTGTTTTTAAATCTTTACTAATTTAATTATTAACTGTTCACTTTTCTTTTTATAATACTAAAGTTAGCCGACGTTTTTAATTTTTTGATTCTTTTTCATTTATTTAATTAGAACTAAAAAATATTTTTAAAAAATGGTTTTTAAAATTTTTTATGATTGAAAATTTTTTTATAATAATTTGTTTAATAAAAAAAATTCTAAAAATTTTTAGATGTCGGTTAACTTAATTTTCATTCTCTTTTTCTATTTTAAATTAAATGAATTGAAATCTTCTGGTACTTCAATTTTCCAAAACTTTTCAATCCATTAGCTCGTTCTCGTACTTTGTTTACTTTTTAACTGAACAAAATTTTGCATCAGACCCCCAAATCTCTTTAAAAAAATGACACTGAAGTTAGCAGACGCCTAAAAATTTTTGATTTTTTTTATTTATTAAATTACAACTAAAAAGATATTTTTAAAAAATTGCACTTATAGCTTTTTAAGTTTTTTACATGTGAAATTTTTTTTTTTAATTTTTTAATTGAAATTTTTTCAATAAAAAATTTCTAAAAAGTTTGAAATGTCGGCTAACTTTATTTTCATTTAAAAAAATCAATAGTGAGGGAAGAAATAAAAATACATTGGCCAATTTTTCAAATTTGCGAGCCAATGATAACTTTGCTGACAGCGCGCTCTAATTATATAGTTCATTCATTCCAATGAAAATATCGCAACGTATATACATTTATAATTTACCACTGTTTGAAACCTTCAAAAAGTTTCAGTTATATATTGTTAATTTATTAAACAAACTAATTTATTTAAGTACTTCGATTGCAAAACAAGTCAGGACACTTGTAAGCATTCACCGCAAAAATAGTTGAGTTTTTCCTCCATCCAATATACAATTTCAAATTTCTACGTCATGTTTTGTTTATGTTTTGCACCGACAATCCGGTAAGTAAATAAACAGCACACAATTACAATTATATTTGACATAACTTAATTAATTCATTTGTTTTAGAAACTAGCAAGCAATTGAAAGTATTGAATTATTTAAAAAAAAAAAAAAAAAAAAGTAAATGTATGGAAAATAACACTAAATAAAATAATGTCTGAAATAAAATACATTGCGCGTCCTAAAGTAAGATTCAGTGAAACATCCGAGTCAGCTGACGACTCGGCATCATCATCACGAGCAACGTCATCAAGATTGCGAATAAGAAGCATTGAAAATGTTAAAAAACCATTTAAATTAGTGCGAGAAGTTCGTGATAGCTTTAACCTTAAAAGCGCCGGTGAAAGTGTCAAAACGTCAGCTGGGCAAGTCAAGCCTAAAGTTAAATTAAACCAACCCATAGATCTAGCTGGTGAATCAAAGAATAATTCTACTTCCAGTAAAATAGAATCCAACAAAGAAAATATTACAACTGACAAACAAACGAAAAATGGTGCGGTGAAAAAATCTCTAGGAGGTTTGTCAGTTAAGAAAAGCAGTGATCACATTTTTTAACCTCGCCCTTGAAGCTTTGTTATCATATTTAAACACACATTTTTAGCAGTTACTGTTTTATTGACGCTCATAAAAATATCTAAAATAGAGCAAAATTCTTTTACCAAAAAAAAATATACATTTTTACTACAGGGACTATAATTCTCGGCTTACATTTTTATGAGAAAAAAAATTTGAATAAATGAAAATACGCAATACTATTAAAGATTTTCGGACGTTTTCGGTCTGGTCAATTTGAATATTTTCTACACAGAAAAAAATTTTGAACATTAAAATTTGAATATTAATTGTTTATTTCGATCAATTTTAACGAATAATAATTTTTAATGATTCGTTTCTATATTTATTATGAGAGACAGGGTAGTTATAATAAAAACATTTTTGACATTTTCGATACAAAACAGGCACACACGCTTGAAAAAATCAATTTTTTTTCATTGTATTTATTAACCGAATGAAGTATATTAATCCATCCTTTGTCTTGAATTCTATACATAATTGTCTAAAATTAAACAACTACCCGAAAAAAGGTCCTTTAAAGAGTATTATATCTTTTAATCTAATTTTCGTAGTTCAAAAGAATAATAGTAATTAGCCTCGCGGTCTTGAGAATGCCGTAAAAATACCGTAATTTTTTGGCATTTATGCTCATGCCGTATATTTACCGTAATAATGCGGTTAAACTATAGTTGTTTTGGCCAATTTTTATACTGTAAATATCCAGTATATATACTGCACTTATGCTGTACAGTTTCCAAAAATATACTATACAATTACCACATTAATGCCCAAATTTTACCCAAAAAATTCCAAATAATTGGCGTAATAATACAGTAATTTTGCCGAATATTTTCTGACATAATGGAAAATTATTAAAAATTTGGTTTTATTTTTAGTTCACTTCTATGTTAGAAATGAATAAAATGAAAAATTTCCAATTTTGCTTTTTATTCTCCATCGCTACTTTGCAAAAACAAATACTGTTTTTGAATAAATACTATGTAGAATATTATTTTTTAATTAGGTATTTAGTGGTAATGAATATTAAAGAATACATATGTTAAGTAAATATATTCTAATTTCAGTTTCAATTTTTAATTTCTCACTTAAAAAATTGCGAATTTTCTAAAATCAAAAAGTTACATTGTTTCACATATATAACTATACTAGCCGTTTCCCGCCCGTTTCGCTGGGCGAATTGAAAAAGGAAATAAATTACATTTTATGTTTCATTTTTATTTTTTTTTCCATATTTTTATTATTCTCCTTTTTTTTTTATTTTTGTATGAACATAAATAGGCCCCGCGGATAGAACTGTAAGCATCGATATTGTTTAGACTTACACAAATTCCAAATTCCATCGATTTAGCCTGTATTTTTCATCCAGGTGATTTTTCTCACTAATATTCATTGTAACTTTCAATGTGCAATCATTATAACATTTCCGTGCCTTTCTTCCAAAAATTAATAATAATTGACATGAAGAAAAAAATTTGAAATGAGCATTGAAAATTTAAGTTAAAGTCATTGCAAGTCTCATATGTGAAGTTGAAATCTGTCTAGGTTCAATTGCGACGAATTTTCTGTTATCTAAAATTTATTCCGTGAAATTAACTTTTTATAGAAATAAAATGTAAAATGAAAATAAAATGTAAAATTGAAATTTTAAAATTGCATTTAAAATGTAAAATGAATGTAAAATTCTTAGTCCGTTGATTGGATAGCTATACATGTAAAGTTAAGTTTTGGAAACCTCTCAATGACTTTTTCTCCGCTGCCAAAAAGGCGATTGTTGTAAGGAAATACACAAATATTCCTACACACACGAAGATCTCCACCAAATTTGGAGTCTGTAGAAGTTACAGGTTGGAAATTAAAATTCTAGATTTTAACACCTACCCCCGCAATTCCTGTCGGAAGTAGACTTTATTGAAATCCATTTTGAGATGATCTTTATGTGAATAATAGAAAATTCCTACCATATTTAGAATTTTTAGAAGCTATATTTCGAAATTGAAATTTTTTATTGTTAACACCCACCCCCGCGAACCTTATTGGAGGTGATTCATTGTAAAATCTGCTCTAAGATCATTTTTATATTACATATAGAACACTCTCACTAAAAGTGGAGTCTATAGGAGCTATCGCTTGGAAATTGAAAATTTTCATTGTTAACGCCTCCGCAATCTTCTTTGGGGTGGGATATCGTAAAATTTGTTCATAAATCATTTTTACATCACTTATAGAAAATTCCTACAAAATTTGGAGCTTGTAGGAGCTTTAGCTGGAAAATTAAAAATATTAATTGTTAATACCCACCCCCGCAACCCCCTGCGGGGTGAGCTATCGTAAAATTCGTTCATAGCCTATTTCTACACCTCTTACAGAATCTTACCAAATTTGAAGCCTATAGGAGCTATAGTTTAAAAACAGGAATTGTTCATTGTTAACACCCCCGCAATCCCTTTTGGGGGATGAATTTCTTAAAATCTATTCATAGCTGACCTCTACATAGCAAAAGTAATATTCCTACCAAGTTTTACGTTTCTAAGTCTTCTGGTTCCCGAGATTTCGTGGTGAGTGACTATATAGATGGGAATTCTTCGATTATCATCGAAATTTTTAACTTTTTATCGGACTTTTTTAAAATTTTCTTACATACAAAACTTTCTCTTGACAATTCTGAAGATAAAAAAAAAGCCCAATTGGTCCAGCCGTTCTCCACTACCGTGAGTAGATTCTTAGCTGAATGTAAAAAACCATAATCCGTTTAATATACTCTGTTGAAATCCATGAAAACAAAAGAATCAAGAGAAAATGCTTATCTTTTGTTTTTATTAGCGGGATAAATATTCATAAAAGTAAAACAGCAATAAAAAAATGAAGGAATGTTGGAATTCAAAAAATAGATAGCCATAAACCATCTAGGAAAAAGTTCGCATCGAATGGTGGTAGTTTCATGTCGATACGATCAGTGATTTAGGCGTGATTGAGCCTCAAACGAAGACCATTTTCATTATATATATATATATAGATTATTTAATTTTAAATATGCTTATCCTAAGATAGACGGTATGGCTTAATGTATATAGAATAAGCAAAAAAAAATATGGTACAGGCCGGGTAGCTCAAATGGTAGAGTAGCCAATCATATGGAACATGGTACATGGCAGATCTTTCCGGGTTTCAGACGGTCCAAATCTCTCAACTCTTTCCTTCAAAATATTAAACGGCCTTCAGCAAGGTACAGTAAACTCCCCTCTTCTGTTCAACCTTTATACCATTTCATTATTAAAATCGTTCGGACTTAACATAGACGATGATAAAAAAGCCATAGCTTTTGCTGACGACTTGCTGGTGTACGTCACCGGTAGCAAATCCTCAGAGATAAACATTAAATTACAAAAGCTTTTCGAAAACATACAAAACTACTTTCATACTTGGAAACTCAAAATGAATACCTCTAAATGCGAATCAATTCTTTTCAGACCCAAATTAAAAAACGCACACGCAGACGTCAAAAAAAAATTGGAAAAAATTTCAAATCAAAGAAAACGAAAATTCAAATATTATCGTCCCACACAAAAATGTAGTAAAGTACTTAGGAGTTTACCTGGACAATAATTTAAACTTCTACTCACACATTGACACCCAAATTAATAAAGCCAAAAAGCAATTCAAAAGCCTGTCTAGACTATTCTATTCTAAATTTCTAAACAGGAAGGTCAAAATATTATGTTACCAACTTCTAATCAGACCAATTATTACCTACGGCTGCCCTATTTGGTTTAATATTCCACCTAAAGAAATGGAAAAATTAAGAAAATTTGAAAGACAATGCTTAAGAGCCTGCCTCAACATGTACAAAACACCCGAATCAAACTATATAAAATTCTATAACAACCTAACTATCCTAAATACGGCAAACATTGGACGTATTGACAACCACATTATCCGCCTTTGCCGCAATCATTTTGCCAATGCATCCTCGTCTACTGAAAATAGTTTAATATCAGGTCCCTTTTACCCACAACCACAATACTTCAATCAAGCAATGACATCGGGGTACACACCTCCCGAAATATTCACATACCTGGACAACCTAGGACTCATTCAAGACCCTCAATTCATACCGTTAATATACCACGTCAAAAGAGGCCAAAACGCTAAAGCTATTAATTATGACTCAAAAATATTATCAAATACCGACATACAATACTGCACTTCAGTCCCACAAAAAGACAAATTAGTTAATCCCTACAATTGTAAGGAATACTGGTGGTTTACATAATCTGCTCCTTTTTCTCCTTTTATTATTTATTCTCTTTCTCCAGTTTTCCTTATTTGTTGCTGTATGTATATATATTTATATTTTGTTGTATTTGTTTTTCTGTTTTTCTTCTTAATACTATAAGCCTTTTCAATATACATCGTTTTTTTTAGGCTAACTCATTACTAACCATATACTATTAATCTCTACAATATTTATATGTATAAAAGAACAAGACTAAAATTAAACAAAAAACAAAATATGTATTGCCCATTGAGGCATCTCAGGTACCAAAC